CTCAGAAGACAATGTCCCCAGACACTGTACTCAGAAGAAGGACACCTTCATTCTGCTTGTGGTCAGTCTGGTTTGAGGACCCCTGCTGTACAACAGAAAAGCTTGAAACAGCCCAGGTTCAAATCCTACTTCACTAACTCTGCAGTTCTAAAAAGTCTTTTGAGTACCCAGCTTTTTTTGTTTTAATGACTCAGCCCTACCTTTTGTTGCTTTTGCCTTTTGTGTATTGAGTAGCTCTATTTGGGTACTGTGTCCAGCCCCCAGCCCCAGAAGTGAAACGCCTTGGCTCTAGGGTCGGCTGGGTACTATTTATAAGTGTCGCCCATCTTCCACTTCGCAGCTCCAAACCAAAGCCTCATTATCCCTGCTCTGTTTGTTCTGCGGCAGAATGGTAGCATTTACATGGAAATGGGTCAGTTTCTCCATCCTGTAATTTGGACTGTTTGTTTTTCCTTTTTGGACTTCTTTGATGCTGCTGCAGAAAGCAGTCTGGGAGTCTGGAGAAAGGAAGAGAGGGGGCTGCAAAGGACAAGGAGGTGGCAACACTGTTCCTCTGCCCCCTGTCCCCACAACCCTCACCTCTTCCCTGGCAGGATTAAGCAATCTCTTTCCTCTTTCTGCTTTTCTGCCTCCACCAGCATTAAGGCAAGAGGTCCCGCTTCATCATCAACACAGTACAGCGTCTGCTACAGGTTTCTGTCCCTCTCTAGGCCTTGCTTCCCATGGGATCACTGAAGTTGTTAAACCAGACAATCTCTAAATTCAACTGCTTTCATTAGCCCCCCTGGCTGTCATTCACACTACTAGGAGGTGACAAGAAAGCAAGCCCTTTATTAGCCATATGACCTAGGGCAAGTTATTTAACCACCCTGATAACAGACCATCAAAATGACTCATACCCTTCTCTTTTCCATCTCCAGTGGAATAATAAAAAAGTCACTTCTTTATTCTCAGTGCATGAAAATAATAACCAACCATGCTCCCTCCCAGGGCCCTGGGACCCAAAGAGGATGTCATTGCTACACAAGGTTTTCCAAAGCCTTTGAAAGGTTTTACATCCCCTCACATCTCCACCATACCAACCACCCGCTACCACCCCACAATGTAACTGCAACCATAGAACCTTCTAAGTGTAATTTCATCTCTCCTCTCCCCTTATTTTTTGCTAGAGGGTTCTATGAGAAATGTGATTCCACTTTTAGACATAAACTCTAAGGAAGCACTTGTAAATGTCCATAATAAGGCATCCAGAAATCTGCCTTACTTAGGATACACTGAGGCTTTATTTATCATAATGAAAAATAAGAAATGAGTATCTATAACTTTAAAAAACAAAAACAAAAAACTGGGAAATTCACTTACGGGAATACTATGCAGAAGCTCAAAAGAGTGAGACCAATTTGTAGGTACTAATATGGGTAGACTGATAAAATACACTGCTGAATAAAAGAAGCATACAATAGGAGTTGATTCCCAGATGACAGAATAAGGAAAGGGCAGACTGCTCTAAGCTAGAGGAAAATAGTAAAAAAAAAAAAAAAAAAAAAAAAAAAAAAAGTGCAGAAAGTGCACTCTCAGGGGAGAGCCAGAGGAAAAACTCCCTCTTCGCGGAGGAACGACACAGAACCCTGCGCTGTTCTTTTGTCTGCTCGGCCCTCCCCTGGTTTGCTGCTGGTTCTTCCCGGGTTGGCTACTGTCCCTTCCACCTCCGTGGAAGGGCGGTTCCCCCTGCCACTTTCCCCACTTCCGCGGGGGAGTGGCACACCGCCGGCCGGCTCTCTCGGGGGCTGCTCAGATGTTCCTCAGGTGTTCCTGGTGCATGCGGTCTCTCTCCTCCTTTATAGTCCTCTTCCCCAATCCCAACTCTGCTACCCACAAGCCGAGCATGCTGCTCTCCTCCAATCAGGAGCAGGTCCTACAGTTTATTGGTTGAACTGGAGGCAGCTGTGTAGAAGCTGTTTCCTCCTCTCCCAGCGCCATATTGTGGGAGAGCAGATGCATAGAATAAGTCTTAATTCCAGTAACAGTCTAGTCCGAGTTGCTCCCCACACTGGAGATTCTGCGGATGGAGGAGAGATGCCAAGGAAGGTGCAGACATGCTGCAACAAGCACCGACACAACACACAACCCCAGCTGCCTAGAGCTGGAGAAAGCCCCAGCCTTGGAAAGCAGGGGGAGATCAGACTGCAGCGGCCCGTGCCACTGGTGATATAGAGAGCTGAGTGGACTACACCGTCTTTGAGTCTGGCCCAGAGCCCTGAAGAGAACAGTGCCCACTAACCAGGTGAAAAGAGGGGGCATGTTTCTCTCTCCCCATCCCACCCACAATGGAGTCCAGAAACCAGCTGAGAGAGGGTGGGTGCCATTTTGGATATAAGTAGGTAGCAGCTGTGGCAGCATTCCCACTAAGATCCGGAACCAGACAAGGATGCCCTCTCTCACCATTGCTAGTCAATAAAGTCCTGGAAGTTTTAGCCAGCACCATTAGGCAAGAAAAAGAAATCAAAGGGATACAAATTGGAGAGGATGAAGTCCAAACAATATTTGCAGATGATATGATTCTATATATATAAGTAAAGCAAAAGAATCCACTAAGAGACTATTGGAATTCATAAAAGAGTTTGGTAAAGTGGCAGGATGTAAAATTGACACAAAAAATCAATAGTCTTTGTATACACAGACAATGCCATGGCTAAGAAAGAACTTCTAAGATCAATCTCATTCAGAAGAGTTACAAAAAAATTAAATACCTTGGAATAAATTTAGCCAAGGATGTCAAAGATCTCTATGATGAAAATTATAAAACATTATAGATAGAAATAGAAGAAGACACCCAAAAAATGGAAAAATCTTCCATATTCATGGATTGGAAGGACTAGTATCATCAGAATGTCCATACTACCAAAAGCAATTTACAGATTCAATGCAATCCCAATCAAAATACCAAGGACATTCTTCTCAGATATAGAAAAAAAATGATGCTAAAATTCATATAAAAACACAAGAGACCTGAATAACTAAAGCAATCTTATACAACAAAAACAAAGCCAGAGGCATCACAATATCAGATTTCAAAATATACTTTAGGGAAGTTATAATCAAACAGCCTGGTACCGGCAAAAAAATAGACGTACAGACCAATGGAACAGAATAGAAACTCCAGAAATCAATCTACGCATCTACAATCAACTTAATCTTTGACAAAGGAGCTAAAATCAATCCCTGGAGCAAGGACAGTCTCTTCAACTAATGGTGCTGGGAAAACTGAAGCTCCACATGCAGACCCCTACCTTACACCTTACACAGAAATCCACTCAAAATGGATCAAGGACCTAAATCTACAACCAGATACTATCGAATTATTAGAGAACATTGGGGAAACTCTGCATGACATTGGCATAGGCAAGGACTTCTTGGAAAAAGACCCCAGAAGCACAGGCAATCAAAGCCAAAATTGACAAATGGGATTACATCAAGCTGAGATGCCTCTGTGCTGCAAAACAAACACTCAGCAAAGAGGCAACCAACAGAATGAGAGAAAATATTTGCAAACTATGAAATTGATGATGATGATTAATATCCAGAATTATAAAGAGCTCAAGAAACTCAACAACAACAAAACAAACAATCCAGTTAAGAAATGGGTAAAGGACTTAAGGAGACATTTTTCAAAAGAGGAAATCCAAATGGCTAACAGACACATGAAAAAATGTTCAGCATCACTAGCCCTCAGGGAAATGCAAATTAAAACCATAATGAGGTTCCACCTCACCCCAGTTAGAATGGCTCCCATACAGAAAGCAACAAGCAAAAAATGCTAATTAGGATGTGGGGAAAATGCACCTTAACCTACTGTCGGTGGGAATGTAAACTGGTCCAGCCACTGTGGAAAACAGTATGAAGATACCTCAGAAATCTGATTAGAGACCTACCATGTGATCCAGCCAATCCCACTCCTGGGAATTTACCCAAACCAAAATACATTAGCATATGAAAGAGTTATCTGTGCCACCATGTTTACTGCAGCTCAATTCACAACAGCTAACCCAGATGTCAATCCACTGAAGAGTGGATAAGGAAATTATGGTATATATACACTATGGAGTACTACTCAGAGGTTAAAAAAATGAAATCCTGTCTTTTGCAGCAAAATGGATGCAACTGGAAACCATTATACTTAGTTAAATAAGTCCCAAAAAAGACAAATACATTTCCCTGACCTGTGACAGAGTGCCTAAAAGGTAATGTATAGGAATGAAGTTCACGTTTTGAGAATCCATGATTGTTTACAGCCCTGGTTTCCACTGTCGGGGAAGAGTGTTATTTTTCTTCACACTATTCGTTGGCTGAACTCTACTGAGTGCTTAACCTTACGAGTAAAAAGTAAACTGAAACTAGAGCTTTGTGAAAATTAGGAGTGGGAATAGGAGGGAGGAGGAGGGGTGTGAGCAGGGCGGGGCGGGGGGCGGGGCAGGTAGGATGGGCAGTTTCACTCTGTCCCTCAATCTGTATAAAGGAAATGCATGAGATGTGTATACCTTATATAACACTTGAAAAAAAGAAAAACCTGCCTCAGCCTGGGCTGTTGCAGCCTCCCTTGCCAGGGTGGTCGGGCCCACTGAGAAAACGCTGCAAGACGAGCCTTCCTGAACCTTCTCTTACAAACAAGCCCAGAGGAGTAACCTCCCCAGTTCTCTGGCGCCAACTCCTGGGCCGCCCTACCCTGACAGCACTGCCCACAGGCTTATAGGCCCTCAGTGTGGAACTGGATCCTGCCATTCCCGACGGGGAAAGGCGCCCTGTGGGGCTGAGCTAAGGGACTTGGCCACAGCCAAACCCACCACAAGCGCAGGCGAAGCCTTGGCGGCCTGCAGTCTGGCGTCAGCCCACCATTACCACAGAACAGCTGCAGCGGGGAGAGCGCCCCACGAGCCCCGCCCCGGATGTGGCCACGCCCCGGACGTACAGCGTGCTGGGCGGAGCCTCTCCCTTAAAGGTTCTGACCGAGCGCCCACCCGTTATTTTCCAAACGGTTTTTGCCCGTTAGCCGGGGCGATGTGCCCGCCCGTCGGGTTGGGAGCTAGGGAGGGAGCTAGCTAAATAACCCGCGCTTACAATACTGAAAACAGGAGTTGTGATGGGGAAAGTGAAAGCGCCAGTCCTTTCTTGGGAGGAGCAAAGACTTCCCAGAAGGGCACCCCTTTCACGCAGCAGTGGGCAAGGGGGGAGGGCGGGCATGGTGCAGGAGTTTTGAGGGGTCATGATGAAAAGTTTCCTTCTGAAGATGCAGGGTGCCGCTCAGAACGGGGGTTATAAGTTTTGAGGGGGTGAAGAAGGTGGGATTTAGTTCTGAGTAGGACGAGAGGCCACTGAGGCAAGGGCCGGTACCTTTGTGTTCCTTTGCTGATGTCTTCCAAGTACTTGGAACAGTGCCTCCCGGACTCCACCCGAAGACGGATCTGGTTCCAGCTGAACATGCAAAGCTGCACGGTTGATTCAGGTTATTTCAAGAGACCTCCTTGCCCTTGACTTGTTTCCTGGGACAAAGCCACTGAAACAAGAAGCCGACCCCAACTGGAGCTAAAACTAGGGGTCTTGTTGGCTAGCGGGCTGACCAGATCGCTCGTCTAGGAGCGTGACCCTGGTTTTGTTAAATCCCATGTCCCTACTACTCTCCTTAGTGCCTTTGCACTTTGGGTCCCCTGTGCTTACTCTCATCCTTTTATTACTTTTTTTTTTTCTGGCTTCTCCTTGGGGTCTGAAGTTTAGGAACTTTGGGCTTCTCTGCTGACCTAGGGTGTCCAGACCTGGGGATTCCTTGGTCTTGACTATTTCCCTGGTCTAGTTAACCTTTGAAGGAATCCCTAAATGTATTCTTAAGTTTATCTCCATCATCATATTCCTAAAAGAAAAACTCAAAGAAGATACTTAGCTTTTTTGGTGAGCTGCTTCCCTCTGGAACTTTCCCGCAAGGACTGGGGCCAGGGCTTGATAACAGGGGTAAGGCATGAAAAGAAAGAAAAAGACAACAGTAGGGTATTATCTGCATTTGGATTAAGGGAGGAGAGCCTTAGAGATGGAATAAGAGAAAGGGAGACTGGTGGGGGAACGTCTAGCAGAGAACAGCAGAGTAACCAGTAGGAACTCGCTGTGCAGAAAAGGAAAACCTCAAAAGGCCAGACTCATTTCTTTGGTCAAGCCTCCAAGGTTGGGGATTTGGATGCTCCTAAGGACTGTCCTCCTCTGGCTGACCTCCAGACCTCCAGACAGGTTGGAGGACTTGGGTAGTGCTCTACAGCAAGTGTTGCCAAGGCAGTTACAGAGTGGAGTTGATAGTACTCCCTGTGTGTGTTAGCAACAATCCCTTCTGTATTTTCTCCTCCAGAATTTGGAAACCACTGTCTCTGTGATTTTTCTCTCCAGAAGCTTCCAGACACAAAGGCTGAGGAGAGCGTCTCTACCTGTGTGCCATATGCTTGCGAGGACTTCCAAGAGGGAAAAACAGATAAGCAGAGAGGGAAAGTCTCCCGCTGGAAAGCAGAGCGTGAAGAGGTAGGGAGAAGCAAGTCTTTAGAGTCACCTGCCACCAGGAGCAGGTCACAATGAGCAGCCAATACCTGAGACTTGTGTAACAGAAGAGGTCAAACAGATGGGGTCTTGTCCCCTGGTGAGCTCTCTGGGACAGGGTTCCACTAGACTGTAATCAAGACAAACTGAGATGTTAAAGTGAAGTCTGGGCCGGTGCTGTGGCTGAATAGGCTAATCCCCCGCCTTGCGGCGCCGGCACCTCAGGTTCTAGTCCTGGTTGGGGCGCCGGATTCTGTCCCGGTTGCTCCTCTTCTAGTCCAGCTCTCTGCTGTGGCCCAGGAAGGCAGTGGAGGATGGCCCAGGTCCTTGGGCCCTACACCCACATGGGAGACCAGGAGAAGCACCTGGTTCCTGGCTTCGGATCAGCGCGGTGTGCCGGCCGCAGTGCAGTGGCCACTGTGGGGTAAACCAATGGAAAAGGAAGACCTTTCTCTCTGTCTCTCTCTCTCTCACTGTCCACTCTGCCTGTCAAAAAAAAAAAAAAAAAAAGTGAAGTCTGGTGATGGCAGGGGTTGACAGCCAAGCGAGTCAGGATTTGTGGGGTGAGTTGGAGATATTATTGGTGAGAGATGAGAGGTCGAGGTCCTGACAAAGCAGTATCACATGAAGAGGTGGGGTCTGGCTGGGGAGGAAGGGTCTAGGCTCTTGAGTGTGTTCTGGAGCAGAGGATAAAAGGTTGATGGGGAGGTGAGAAAATGGTTCTTGAAGACCATGGGCCCCTAAAGCAAAAAGGGATCTGGTGCCCAGGGCTGCTGAGAGCAAATAAGGGGCTCCAGGAGGTGAGGTGGAGACTGAACAGAACTTCCATATTTGGTTGAAAACATGAGACAGCTGGTAGTGGCAGCGCAAAAGGAGGGAAAGGAAAGACATGGGCAAGGAGGACAAGACCCCTGGGTCAGGCAGAGGAGATGAGGCCAACGTGGGTGTGGAAAAGAGAGGAGTTAGGAATGTGGGCACCGGTGGCAGAGAGAAACCCCCAGTTATGGGGGTTAAAGGAGTGATGAGGGAATGGGACCCTTTGTGAAGGACAGGGTACAATGAGAAGAAAGCAAACAAAATGCAGAAGTAGAGGCAGAGATGAGGTAGAATGCCGCCTGCGGGAGGAGACGCAATGTGAGGGTCCCAGGCAGGAAGGGTGATAGTAATAGGCAGGAGATGGGAAGGGCTCAGACAGCGTCTGGTACAAGGCAGAGGGCAGGATTAGAGGCCTCAGGCACAGGATCAAAGGTGACAGAGGAAACAGCATCTTTCACAAGTTTCCCAAAAGCAGAAGGTCAACTGCCATGGTCATGCTCTTTCACCTCTGCCTGCGCAGATCTAGACACACAGTAAGCACAGTTTAATCGAGGAGTTTGCCCCAGTGGCTACAGGAGGCTGCAAGCTTGAGCCAGGAACAAGAGCGTCTGGCGTGGGTGAGGGCAGCAGAAGCTGCTGTCCCTTCTCATTCTCCCACATCTTGGATTTCAAAGTACTCCTTTCATCTCTCACCACAGGACTCTTTCATTCTCAGTCCTTAGACAGGCCCCCTCCAGGAGCAACCCCGGGCTACTAACATTTGCATAGCCCCTGCTGGGAAGAGGGAAATGGCAAAGAAGGAAAAGGTTATTCCTTCCAGAAAAGGTCTCATGCCACCCAAGTTTCTTTCTAGGAAGTTCCACAAGCTGATGAAGCAGGAGACTGGATTGCATGTTGAGAAAGTGAAAACCAGTTTGGTCTGAGAAAATGCAAGTCTACCATGCACATCAGGCTGGCAAACAGATGCAGTTAAATCAGCTGCAAAGTTAGCAGGAAGTTATATTTCTTCTAAGAAAATCCTAATGACACCTAGTAGCACCGCTACCGCTTTGGTACTAAGAAATCTAGTTTTCTCAAATTATAGTTTATCAGAAACCCGATTTTCCAAATCACTTTGGTAAGAAGAAAATATCCCACTCTTAGTTGCAAGATCTGATTTACTTCTACATGCAAGGCTCTCTTAATTTCCTATAACAACCCACATCTTAATAGGTCATTTCTGAGGAAAGTGAGTTCCGTGGCTGCCTTACCAGCCAGATCTGATGTCACCTAAATGTCACCCTTCCTTTTCTTGGTGACACCTCCTGGTTCCACTGTTGTGGCCTCCCTCATTGCTTTGAGCCAATAGGCCTGAGTTTGTTAGGCTGAAAGTTTGCTCCCAGTAGACAGAAGCTGGTTAGATAGCACATTATAGATTGTCTTGGGATTTGCTCATAACTCTGGATGCTATGGCTGTCTACCTTGATTCAGCAATAATGAGCATATATGTTATTCCTTTGCAGTAGATTTAGACTCTGGTTATCCCTCTGGCCTTTCGGTGTTTGGTTTATTATTTGAAAATTTTGGTTTCCCATCAGACTTTGATGTCACCTGGAGAAATCTGGTTTTTAACACCATATCGTGTCCTCTGTTTGCCCATTCCTTCCTGTTTGTCTGTGAGCACTTTCTCCAGTCATCTCTGGCTATGAGCAATTGGCTTTAAGAAAGAGCTCTCCATACCGGGTGGCTGTTGGTGTCTCAGGTCAGCAGGTAGAGGCAGCTTCACCTTGGAGTTGACAGCGGAAAATGCAAGTAATAGTTTACCTTTGATCAACAGTCAAGCAATTTCTCACAGGATTGTCTGTTAATAAGCTTGTGCTACCTTCTGGTATAACTTCCCTGAGGACAAATTAGAATTAGAGTGGCCACTTGAGGAACTTTGACATGAACAAGGATGTTCATTTGAGAAGTGCCTGAGGCAAAAAGGGGAAAGAAAGCCTCAAGATGAGGTTGTATATCTGGTCTGCCTAAAAGAGAGAGAACACCGTGATTAGTGTAGCAGTTTCTCCTCCATTTCCATTCTATGGGGATTAATAAGGCTTTTAATTGCATGAATTGTCAAGGTCTTGACTTATTGTTGGAACTAGATGTAATGACTGTCTTCTGTGTCTCTGTTGTATATATGGAAAAAAAAAGCATTTCCCACGTCAACACCCCCTTCTCCTTACAAAGCAAAGGAAATCAATCAGTACAGTGATAATTTCATATGTGTCAAAAGCCACCTCTCTTTGTTGTTCTATACTTCTCCATTCCTCTCACTTGGGAAATTTTAAAGATTAATTGCCCAGAGTGAGGGGAATTTATCATTCTGCACACTAAGTAGTCCAAAGTGTCTAAGAAAAACATTTAATAGGCAGTTTCTTTGGCATTAAAAATGTAGACATGGGGCCAGTGCCATGGCACAGTAGGTTAATCCTCCGCTTGTGGTACAGGCATCACACATGGGTGGGTACCAGTTCTAGTCCCAGGTGCTGCTCTTCCAATCCAGCTCTCTGCTGTGGCCCCCGGGTGCCTGCATCTCTGCACCCACATGGGAGACCAGAAAAATGCACTTGGCTCTTGACTTCGGATTGGCACAGCTCTGGCCGTTGCAGCCACTTGGGGAGTGAACCAATGGAAGGAAGATCTTTCTCTCTGTGTCTCCCTCTCACTGTCTGTAACTCTACCTCTCAAATAAATAAAATCTTAAAAAAAAAAAATGTAGACAAAGGGCCAGCACTGTGGCATAGTAGGTTAAACCTCTCCCTGCAGCGCCAGCATCCCATATAGGCACCGGTTCTAGTCCTGGCTGCTCCACTTCTGATCCAGCTCTCTGCTGATGGCCTGGGAAAGCAGTGGAAGATGGCCCAAGTACTTGGATCCCTGCCCCGGTGGGGGAGACCCAGAAAGAAGCTCTTGGCTCCTAGCTTTGGACGGGCCCAGCTCTAGCCATTTTGGGCATTTGAGGAGTCAACCAAAGGATGGAAGACCTTTCTCTCTGTCTCTTCCTCTCTCTCTCTGTAACTCTGCCCCTCAAAACAAATAATAAATTTTTTAAAAGTAGACAAATATTTTAATAATAATCTTCATTACTACAGTTCTTAGAGAAAGATCTTAGATTTAAAAAAAAAATTTATTTGAAAGGCAGAGTTACAAAGAGGCAGAGGCAGAGAGAGAAGTCTTCCATCCACTGTTTCACTCCCCAAATGGCTGCAATGGCCAGAGCTGCGCTGATCTGAAGCTGGGAGCCAGGAGCCTCCTCCTATGCGGGTCTCCTATGCGGGTGCAGGGACCCAAGGACGTGGGCCATCTTCCACTGCTTTCCCAGGCCATAGCAGAGAGTTGGATCAGAAGTGGAGCAGCCAGGTCTTGAACCAGCTCCCACATGGGATGCTGGCAATATAGGCAGTGGCTTTATCCACTATAGCACAGCACCAGCCCCAATCTTAGTTTTAATATAAGAGCTTTTAAATATGATTTTCTCTCATGAATCCAAAATTTATAAAATATATTTAAGTACCCTATAATATTTCTGATAAGTATATAAATGTTGGACAAATAACAATGAGTTTATCATTTTTATTAAAGACAACTTTATGTATATTGGCCTGGTTTTATTATATAAAACTTAAATGTTAAGATAATATTCTAGTTTGTATAATATAAAGACTAAGGTTAAAACTTCTCAAGATTTAAACTTTCTAAATTGCCTGGCTTTTTTTTTTTTTTTTTTTTGCTTTTATTTTTGTTTTGAGATTTATTTATTTGAAAGGCAGAGGGAGAAACAAAGATCTCCCATCTGCTGGTTCGCTCACCAAATAACCACAACAGCCAGGTCTGGGCCAGGCCAAAACCAGGAACCTAGAACTTAGAACTCCCATGTGGATGGCAGGGGCCCAAGCACTTGGGCCACCTCCTACTGCTTTCCCAGGTACATTAGCAGGGAACTGAATGGGAAGTAGAGCAGCCAGGACTTCAACTGGCTCTCCCATATGAGATGTGGGCATCACAAAGCAGCAACTTAACTCCTGCACCACAATGCCAGTCGCCATATTAGGGTTTTACTGTTTTGTTTAAAGATTTATTTATTTATGTATTTGAAAGTCAGAGTTACACAGAGAGAAAGAAAGGCAGAGAGAGAGGTCTTCCATCCGCTGGTTCACCTCCCAGTTGGCCACAATGGCCACTGCGCCGATCCGAAGCCAGGAGCCAGGAGCTTCTTCTGGGTGCAGGGGCCAAGGACTTGGGCCATCTTCTATTGCTTTCCCAGGCCATAGCAGAGAGCTGGATTGAAAGTGGAGCAGCTGGGACTTGAATCAGGTACCCATGTGGGATGCCGGCACTGAAGGCAGCTGCTTTACCCACTACACCACAGCTCCGGCCCCACCATATTAGTTTTACATGACAAGAAAAGGATCATTGTTGGGACAGATTTTTTTTTTAAGATTACAAAATGTAAAATTGCATATAAGTGACGTTATAGGACAGATGTCTTTAGAAGTGTTTTATAAAAGTTAATTTATTTGAAAGGCAGTTACACAGAGAGGGAGGGAGAGACAGGGGCGGGGGAGATCTTCCATCTGCTGGTTCACACACCAAATGGCTGCATGGCCAGGGCTGGGCCAGGCCAAATCCAGGAGCCAGGAGCTTTTTCCAGGTCTCCCACGTGGGCACAGGAACCCAAGCACTTGAACCATTTTCCACTACTTTCTCAGGCACATTAGCAGGGACCTGGATCAACAGTGGAGCAGCCACAACTTGAACTGGCATCCATATGGGACATCAGCATTGCAGGTGGTGGCTTTGCCCACTATGCCACAGTGCCACTATGCTGGCCCCATAGAAGGATTATGATCTTGTAAAATTTTTACAATACTACAAATCATAAAGACTTAATGCTTAGTGAAAATTGTAATTTTCAAATAGTTTATATTATAAAATCTTGGAAAATATGAGTTACTTTTTGAATAATATTTGGATATATGAATAATTTCTAAGCTAAAAAATATAAATCATACAAGGGGTATTTTAAAAATGTGTGGAAAACAAATGATAATTTCTCTTGTTGCAAAAATTTTTGAAATTCACACATAGTTTTCTCATAATACACATTTTCCATAAATGTTTTGAAGACCCCTCATATATGTGATTTCAAAACCTTCACACCAAAATACATTTCTTTTAATTCCATGTTCCATGAACTTTTTTAAGTACCCTTGTATATATGCTTTTAATTTATCCTTATTCTCCATACCATATAAAGGCTTGTTGATTAATAGAACACATAAATGGGTTTGGATGATGTATTTATTCTGCCTCCTGGAAATATGAAAGATAATATATGTGCTCACAAAAACTGTGTTAGACAGTTTTTGTTTCTTTCAGTAAAAAACTAAAACCCATATCTGGAGAAAAAATTGATTATTTAGACTATTTGTGGTAATTAATAAAAATCATTAAGACTATGTATTATAATAACTTCTGAAAAGTATAAATATAGGTACAAGCTACAAATATGGCCCATCTAAAAAGGTTATTATTAAAATGCCAATTCAAATATTATGTGCTTTTGTTTTAATATGCTAAGATAAATTCTATTTTAGGACTAAAATTTTAATATGTATTTCTATATGTCTGTATATAGTTATATAAGTGTATTTTAATTTTTAAAACTTATGTAAATGATAAAAGACAAGTTTAATGTGCTATTCCATGGAAATTGAATAATTCACAGAAAAATGCTAATGTTTTTCTGCAGATTCTAATATGGATGCTATTCAAAAAGTGAAATTGGGATTTTCTTTCTATAAATAACCAAATTATTTTGTGCCTGGATGACTTTTTTCTGTCAAATCACCAAAATATTCTTTAATTCTCCATCCTTCTGGTATTATCTTGAATAATTTTAATACAGTTTATTATTTTCTCAGGTACTGGATCAGGCATCAGACAAAGATGTCATTGAACTTCCATGACAAGGACTTTATCAGCTACTGTTAACAATTAACACAACAGTAAATCCCTGCCTCCCAAGTGTGAAGACAGAAGCCCTGCTTGAAGGAGATCTCCCCCGGAGGAGTCACCACGCAGCAAAGCTGATGACTGTGGGCAGAGACCCCTTCCACCCGAGACCTCAGAGGTGGGCTGGTGACTTCTGGAAGTGCACAATCCCCAGGAACCACTGGACAAAGCCACCAGAGCCACAGAGTATCCTGCTTTAACCTGCATGGGCTTTTGCTCTTTGCCTTTATGCTTTCCCCTTTGCCGCGTTAAGATTTAAATTGCTGACACTTCTCCATTAACTATGACGCTTCAAGGTCTTAATACTCTTTTTTGTGGTCCTAGTCACTCCTGGGTCTAAGTCCAACCCCATGCTGCAGTGTGCTTAAGATGTGGCCAAGGTGTGCAATTATTATACTGTCTGTCTAGTTGGTTCTTACTTTTCTTTGGTGCCACCCAACTTTCTTAGCTACCAGTTTCTTGGAATTAATCAAGGACTTATCCAAGAGATGATTTTGGTATAACACATACTGAAGTAGGCCAAATAGCCAGAATTCTTTTTGTTTTTTTAAAGGTGCTTCAGAGTTCATGTGAAATGTATTTTCTATCTGAATTAGTTACACAAAACAAAACAGACATAAAAAAAAAAAGTAAAATTTCAGAGCAGCCTTGAAAGAAGCTTTCTTCAAACTTCTGAGACTTTCAATCTTCTACTTTGGTGACTGTCAGCCGTCAAGTGACTGAGAAATCACTGTGAGTCCTTTTCTGACTGGAAGAAGGCAAATTCAGGTCCTCTGCACCCGCGTGTCTGCCATCATGTTTTCCAGGTTCTCTTCTGACATCCTCAGGTGAAGACATGCTGTCCCCCAGCCCGAATTAGACATGGGGAAACTGCTGCTGCAGATACTGAGCCTTCGTGTCCTGCTGTCGACAAGCAGAGGGCTTACTCAGTATCCTGGGTGCCAGCATTCAATTGTTGTTCACCTGGCCAGTCCCGCCCGGCCAGCCCCAACCGCCTCTCCAGTTGGGTTCACACCATCGCCCGTCACTCAATAGCCAGAATTCTAAAGTCCCCTATCAAATCATACATAGACAGGAAGGTTTCAAACAAAGCAATCTTCTGAAACCTTTTGTGAAATTGGGCTTTTCCAACCAAATGTTCACAAAAGGCAAGGCAGTGATGAGGGTGAAAGGTGTGATGATGAGGTGCTTTGAGAAAATTAGACCCACTCGGAGCACAGGGACAGTAACAATCCAGTGATGAAAGATGGACCTCCACAGGGGACTCCCACAAAGAGGCAAAAAAGCTCACTAAGCTTCTGGGGAGTCCACGGAGACGGAAGTCAGTGGATGGCCTGGAAGTGGGCCCCTGTAGAACACAGCGGCAAGGTAGGAACCAGAGGTAAAAGGCTCGGAGAGGGGGGCCAGCTAGGCTCTTCTGAGAGTCTGGCGAGAGGTTGAAGGCAGAGACTGAGGTGACCCACTCAGAGGCTTTTTGGGATCTGTGGGACTGCAAGGCAGCCTAATCCACAGCTGCCCAGACAACAGAATGCCAACTTCCAGGGCCACAGTGTTACACAGATCACAAACATAGCTCTTGACAGACGTCCCCCAGCTACCTGTAACAGGGAGCTTGTCCAGTGGCTTCAAAAGTCAGGAGGAAGCAGCTGAAATCCGCAGAGCTGGGACGGGGAGAGGGCTTGTCGGAACGGGAACCACACTGCATCCTTCAGCTTCCCAGACCTCACGTTGCTTCTCTATCTCCAACACAAGGCTGGCTTCCCCATTCCTTTCCCTGGGGACACCCCCTCCAAGCATCCACCCCAGGCTGCACTGGGCCCTGAGCCTGCTTAGTCATCCTGGGAAATGGGGATACAGGAGAGAGGGAAAAGGTTATTAATGACCTGTTCGTTAGGAAGGATTGTCCCCTGCTACCTCAGGGTCTTCCAGTCAACCTTTCCAGTGTGAGAAACCAAAGGCCTGTGCTTCTTTGTGCTGAAAAACAAAGCGATAATGTTAATGTTAAGAGACTGACTAGAATGATCTTTAGGAGAGTCTAGACTCTATAAATGCAGCACTGTGCAAGTTGAAGTGGCCCTGACGGTCATAGTGAAGGCTTTTCACAGACATTGTCTCAGGTAATCCTCACAACAACCCTGTGGGGTATGGAAGACACATACTACTTCGCAGGAGGAACCTGCACCTTGAGGAAGTCGGGCCCTTGTCCAAAATCAGGACCTGGAAGCTCTGCCTCCAAACCAAATAGTGGTTCCGATACCACCCACATGGCGCATCTTCAGAAGGCAAGCCTCCTGGGCCAACCCCACCATTCTTCACACAGATGCATAGACTGAATAGAGGTGTTCTGTAGGCCTAGGCATCCCTCTGGAAGTTCTGTTTCTGAAGGAGATCACATCTAGCATCTGATTTCCTCCGATTGTAGACCTGGGCCCTTGTGGAAAGGCGAGATCTACATCCTCTTTCACTCTGCCCTGATCTTGAGACACAGAGTAGCTGGAGCTCAAGTCTCACTCTCCTCTCTAGACAAGCTGAAGACGTTATTCATGCTGAATCTGATTTTGTATATTGAATGAATAGAGCTTTGTGATCCAGCCTTGTTTTATACTTTAAAGTGGATAAAATATTTTCTATTTTTCCTTCTTTGAAATTTTCAAAAAAGGTTTTCTATCTGTCATACTCAGTTGAGTTTTTTCAGTTCCTGCCCTCTTCTGATGAAGGGCACAGATGCCCAGAAGTGCAGGAACTGTGTACTGTGTCACAGGGAACTCTGTCCCAATGGCAGAGCTTGGGCTCCAGCACCTGCTTTGAGGCTTTCAAAGGCTCAGAGCAATGTTCTCCCTGTCAGCCCTAACACAGTGGAAAGCCTTGGCCCAGAGACACCCAAGATGGAACCATGACTGGGAAGAGGTGAGGGACTCTGTTCTTCTACAGGTACCCTGAACTCTGTTCATCCAATCCATGGCTATTGAATCACTGTGATGAGGGTTTTTATCCCAGAGCTGTATACCACATCTAGAAAGGTCTATGAGCCTTGGAATATCAACCCCAGCTCCCATACCCATCCATTTCCCATTCCCCATTCATGATACTCTAATCTTTCTTGAGACTTTTGATCCCAAGGTGGTCCTTATGGCAACACAATTGATTTTAGAAAAGCAGGAAGAAGGGTTCCCTTACCAGATGTGTCTGTTTTTCCTGGTTATTGACTATATTTTGATTCCTCTGTAAATAAGAGGAACAACAAAAAGAGCCCCCACGCTACGTAGGAAATATAGAATAGATGGAACTATGTCCCGAGACTCATTGAGATGCATCTGAATGGAGTTCATACAATATCCCTGCTCCCTCCATCCAGCCTAGCAATCCTGCCACCCTCCTGGGCCTTCTAGACCCTACTATCCTTCCTGGTTCTTACCATTTTCCAACTTTACACTTTCATCAAATCACAAGTAGATGGCACTGCTGTTTTCTCTTTATTTTACCTACAACCTAGTTATTGGCTGGGTAGTTCTTTACCCCCTGGGTCATCTCAGTCTTGACCTTACCACTCATATAATATAGCCTCTGAAAGTGTGGAGTTCTCCCAGGAATTTATGCTAAATCCCAGGGATTTGCATTCTCAAGATTCCTGTGTTTTTAACTCTAGCTCCTCACTTTGCAACAACCCAAAGGATACAACCCTACTTTCATACCCAGAGTGCATTTTCACATACAATCATTAGAGAATGATATCTTCTTTACAAAACATACTGTAAAAGTGATAAACAGGGCCAGGGACAGAGCACCCCCTGGCAAACAACTTTCAAATCCCTATCTACTGAATTATACATGGTGTTATTTTCTAAACTGAAACAGCCTCAGGCCAGGGTACCCAACGCTTTGATGAGGCTTTCCCAGAGCTAGCAATAAAACCATGTTTCTGCTTTTGTTCCTCCCTCTCTATCTTGGCAAGATCTTACCCTCTGATCCTCTGGGAAGCTACCTCTGACACAGCTGGGCCCCCGGGGTACAGGCCTGATTGTCCCCTGGTGTACTCCCATTGCACCTTGTACTCCCACCGACCCAGTGCTGGCTACCTCTCTGTCTTTCCTATTAAACTGTAAGCTTTGAAAAGGAAGTACCTGTTTTGTTCAATACTACACCTCAAGTTCCTAGCTCGGTACCTAGTTTAATGTGTGTGGACGTCTGGATGGATGGGTGGATGTATGCTTATGTGTATGTGCCGGTGAGTGAATAAATGTGTTACATTTAAGGTGCTTGTTGGGCATCCAGATGAAACAAACCAACAGATAGTTTTTGGATATGGAGTTCAGAAAAAAGTTCTGGACTAGAGCGAAGCCAAGTTCAAACAAATGAGACTTCCCCTTGGGAATCATACGTTTTATAATGTACTTGTGTTGTCAGTAGTAGCATGGCAGCCTCTGGCTTCAAGTCTGTTTATACTCGAGGATAATCCCTACCACCACATCTTGGTCCTGAAGTCATTACTCCCAGCTACTTTATCACAATTCCCTGTGGGTAATTGTCAGCTTTAAGGCCCAAAGAAGGCACAGAGATGACCAGTAAACGCAGAAAAGAATTTTATTTTAGGACATCATAGGGTGATGTGAAGTAGGGGCCCTTTCAAGCTACTGGCCAGGAGAGGGGGTTGTATTTAACTGTACAAAGAATTTGGAAACCTGTATCAGTAACTTTTGACCTTGATAATGGACATGCAACTGCTGATTGTTAGTGTGTTCTGGTGGTATGGAATATCCAAGTAGGGTGCTTATAAAGTTTATTGCTGGGGCAGTAAAATCCCATCAGATCTGGGGGTTAGCTATTTGTGCCCAGTGACCTGACAGATACTGACAAAGGCAGCATCTGAATACATACATACAGAGAGAAAACTTCTGATGTTATGTAGAAAGCGTCCTAGGGGAGGTGGAGTTGTGGAACAAGGAAGATGGTATCAATGGCTGCCTCCTGCTGAGACAGGGCACAGTCAGGGAAGTGGTTCTGATGTAGGCAGGCAGATAGCATAAAATCAATTAGGTTTGTGAGCTGGAAGACCACGCCCCCTATGTGATGTTATGCCCCACCTGACCCCACCTGTATGCCCACCTGCCAATCAGACTACATAACCACTCCCCATTGGAAGTAGATAAAAGGCCTGGAACATGGTGGGCCCTCCCCTTGTTGTTCCGTGCCTTCCGGGCACGTGGCCTATTGGCCTGCTCTCTGCCTTCACGTCGTTACTTGCACTAAGGTACCTGTGGCTGCTCATAACCATATGCTTGCTCCACGTGGCTCACTCCTGGCCAGCTTTCTGTTTGGTATGGATGCAACTTAGCTTCTAGACGTCTCTTTCTTCCTAAACAAAGTCTTTACTTTCCTGCACATTTCTCCCACTGAATAAAATCCTTAAAAACTTACCATATTGTCTGGTCTATTTGAGCCAGTATTCCGAATTCTTCTCTGAATACGTGGCAAGAGCCCACAGGCTTATTAAAATGAAAATTATTAAATAAGCAGTCCAATATCAGTTCCTCGCCCTCCAGATTCTGGGTCTGAAGTCATAGAGTCATTGGCTGGTAGTGGACGTCCCTCATCAGGAGGATGTCGTCAACATGGGTTTGAGTGAGGTCTTGGACCACTGAGTGAATGAATCACTTCAGTAACTGATGGAGGCATGGCCCTAGAGATCAAAAACAAAAACAAAAACAAAACAAAAAACCTTGTTATGAGGGTAGTAAGAAAGAGCATAAGCCAAGGTAGCCAGGAGGATTTTTCAAACCAGTTACTCAAAGGGTCAGAGATCCACTGTTGCGTTTTGGATGCCCTGTTTGCTAACCCACTTAAAGGCAAAATACCTGACAGGAGAGTGGGGGTGTTAGGCCTATAATATAATCAGGTGGGCTTTAAGGTCTGGCCATGTAGGTGTGAGGCCTCAGGAGGGTAGCAGGGTCTGCTAGACCTGTGGGTTGACCTGTAGCTATCTCTCTCCACATGGGGTACTGGAAGACACATCACCAGGGAAGTCTGAATCTCCTAAGACTGCCCATTGACTCCCATTACCTGGCCAGACTGGGGAAAGAGCTGGCTTGAAAAGGAGGCTAGCAGAGTAGGCAGTTACCATGGCTAAAAGAAAAGACACAGTCCCAGCAGCTATGTCAGAATGACCCTACCCTCCATACCCTCCTTAGTGGTGGCTGGCTTGGGAGCAGGTGGAGTAAAGGGCTTCTTCAACTTAGGGCCAACAGGGTCTGCAGTGCTAACCTGGGAGTCCTTTGACCCTCAGGGCAGATCCATTTCAATTGACTCAGCTGACAGGGCTCCTTCAGAGACTAACTTCTGTCCCGACAGCTGCTGTCCAGTGCCCTGGCTTCCTGCATTGAAGACGGGTGCTATTTTAGGGTGGACTGGCCTTTTTTTGGTCTCTTTGACATCAGAGAACCATGTAAAGTGACTATAAATTGGCCTTCCACCTATCCTTACATTGCTCCTTCTACCTAGCTTGCTCCTCTTCCTCCTGGTCTCTGTTAAAATAGACCACAAAGGCAGCCCGTTTGGATGTTAGCTGAGGTGGGGCGGGATGCTCAGTGCCATTCCTAATTATTGAAGCTTCTTTTAATATCAGGGTGGCCTGAACTAGAAATCTATAGTCACGGCAGACTGACACTGTGTCTTTCCCTAGGAGTTAAGACAGTGTCTCTGAGAACTGTGTCCTTCCAGAAAAGATCAAAAGTGGTGATCACCTCATGTAACCTATCTACAATTTTTTTTTAGAATCTAGAGTTTTTTTTAAAGACTTATTAAAGTTAGAGTTATGCCCACTTCTCTGGGCTCTTCCATAAAGTTAGAGTTATGAAAGTTAGAGTTACACAGACAGAGAAGGAGAGGCAGAGAGAGAGAGAAAAAGAGGTCTTCCATCCGCTGGTTCACTCTCCAATTGGCCACAACGGCTGGAGCTGCGCTGACCCAAAGCCAGGAGCCAGGAGCTTCTTCCGGGTCTCCCATATGGGTGCAGGGGCCCAAGGACTTGGACCATCTTTTACTGCTTTCCCAGGCCATAGCAGAGAGCTGGATTGGAAGTGGAGCAGCCAGGGCTTGAACCAGAGCCCATATGGGATGTTGGCACTGCAGGCAGCAGATTTACCCGCTACACCACAGCTCCAGCCCCTACAAATTTTTGAGGTCATTAGTAAAACTTTCCATCTCCCTTTTAATCTCTTTTAATTCTGCATTGTGAAGAGAACTGGTATCCTGATGAGGCTCTTCTTGCGGCTGTCTCCTGTAGAGGGTGCATTGCAATGGCTTCTACACTCCAGGCTGAGGGTGGGTTTTCCAAAGCAGCTCCCTTGTCAGGACACAGAGGGCACAGGACTTTTGTGTATCTACAGGGTAACTACTCTCATGGCAGGTGTTTTGGCTCTGCTTCTCAGTGGGCTATTGGTGGTGGATTAAGTTAAGCTAACATAGCTGAGTCCAGCTTGTAATTTTTACAGAATTCATGACTTTTTCTTAGTGCTGTAAAGGCCTGTACATGAAAGACCTCTGTCCATTTACCTACGCCTACAGCAGAACAGATCTAGCTGTAAAATGATATTATAATTTAATCCCATTTTCTGGCCAGGCTTCCTGGAAAACTATATTGTGACCAGGTGGGTGTTGTAAAGAAAAATTAGCTCCTTTTTTTATTTTTTGTCTAGAACTCTCTTTTTGATCCATGTTTTGTCCTAACAATTAGTTTGCTTGACAATTTAGTTTGCCTGAGCCTTTGTCAGTCCCTGTTTAAAGAATCTGTCCTGCCTGCTAATGTACCTGGGAAAGCAGTGGAAGATGGTCCAAGTGCTTGGGCCCCTGCACCCACTTGGGAGATGTGGAGGAAGCTTCTGGCTCCTGGCTTCAGCCTGGCCCAGGCTCAGTTGTTGCAGCCATTTGGGGAGTGAACCAACAGATGAAAGATCTCTCGGTGTGTCTCTCCTCCTTGTAACTCTGCCTCTCAAATAAAGCATTAAAGAAAAGATAGAATTTGGTCTGCTTGTTGAGCCTACTGTCTTGGGTAGGGCAAAATCCCTTGCTTACCCTTTTTTTATTTTTATTTTTACTTTTTCAGCCAACTGCTGTTGGAAAAAATAAACACATGTGTTTGTTTTTGTATGGCTGCTGACTCCCTCCCCATCTCGGATAATGGGTGCCCTGCCAAGAGGCAAGGGCTCCCCATGGATGTAGCATGTAGGATCCCCTAGGAGGATGGACAACATTGCTTCCCCCAGGAGTTCTAACCCCTAGAGCCCAGGACAGGCTAGGTACCTGGAGAGGGCGGAGTTGAAGGTGAAGAAGCAGTTTATGGAAGAGCCCAGAGAAGTAGGCACCGCCCTCGGGGGCCCTTCTCTCCATCTGTGCCAGGTCCCTTTACTAATCACAACTGGGACACTATGCTGCACCCGCAAGGGCCCTGGGCACCCTGGGCGCCCGCTCAGCTAGAGGTTCAGGGCCTTCACACGCCGCAGGTTCCTCGCAGGTTCCTCGTACGCGAAGCCCCACAGACACGCGACATGGACACGCCCTAAGCTTTGCATGCGAGCTTGGGGAGCCTGCCTGGGGGAGGCGGGCAGCTATCCTAGGGTACACACGGAAGTGAGCCCATAGGATGGCCTGGGCCCCACAGGCAGGAGGCCACAGGCACTGTAGTCCCTTCATAGGCTTCCTGTCACTCTCTCAGCTCTGCGTGTGTGTGCATGTGCGTGTGCGTGTGCGTGTGTGTGTCCGTCTGCCCGACCCAGTCTGGCTCACTAGAAGTCAGGTGACCAAATAGCCCAATCACAAGCATCAGCTCCACCCCCACCCTAACAGGATTGGCCACTCCCACTTCCTTACCTCTGCGAAGCTATATAAGGCCTGTTTTCCCAGTGCAGATTACTGTTCTCTCTGTGCACAGGGAGGCAGCCTGTGGGGTTTCCCCTGCCCGACAATAAACCTTTTCCCGTACTCCCGTGTTTGGTGCATTTTGTAGTGGCCTTTCCTCTCACTTTCTTGCAGAGAGAGCTGCCGTCTGGGGGCTGCGCTCCTCCAGCTGAGTCCGGCTGCCTGTCTCCCGCGCGTGGCTGGCTGGGGGGCCTCCAGCTCCCGCGGCAAGGGCAGGTCCCCCACACCGCAGGGGCCTGCGTCTCGGTTCCTCACAGCGCTTCTGCTCGGCCGGCTCGACGGCTTCAAGCTTCTGCTGCTCCTCCCTCCGGCAGAGCAGCGCCCCCACTGACCGATGTGACCCTCCTCACAATCAGCTGCAACCTCTGCACCAGGGCGCTGAGGTCTACCTTGGTCTCTGCAAAGACGTCGGTGTGGACGAAAGCCCAGTCCTTGCCCTAGAGAGGCAGAAGAGCCACTTCTAGGGCAGCAGCAGCCGGCGGCCACGGCCTCCCCATTGGGCCCCACAGCAAACAGCCTGGTGCCGGTGCCGCAGGCCCCTCCAGTAATCAAGATTTAATAACGCCAGCAGAACACTGCTGCAAACTCTCCCCAAGACGCAGTGCTGCCTGGGTTAGTTACAAAAACACAGAGAAAACTTGATTGAGAGGATTAGCGTGTGCATCAACATATGACCCTACTACTTAAGACAGTTAAATGTATCGTGGAACAAAGAGGTAGAAAATCAGGTTATCTGGACTTCTAAGATCGAAGAGTTAACTATATTTCCTTTTAATATCTGTCCTAATCGCACACAGCATTCAACTTCCTCGAACCTGCTGGTCCTTTAGTTCCTCTATCAAATGATTCTTTTTAAAAAAAAAAATTATTTATTTATTTATTTGAAAGGCAGAGTTACAGAGAGGAAGAGGCAGAGGGAGAAAGAGAGGTCTTTCATCTGCTGGTTCATTCCCCAAATGGCAGCAACAGCCAGAGCTGGGCCAATCTGAAGCCAGGAGCCAGGAGATTCT